AGTTTATTGTACAATAAGTCAAAACTGGTAGAAATGGTTGGATTTATTAGCAGAATAAGCTGATGTGAACTTATTTTAAAGTAACGTTGGGTATAAATCAAAAAATTCTTTAAAAAAATGGAAGATGATATGATCAATACAAAACAAGTAATCATCTGTTTTATTATTCGTAATAACATAGGATCAAAATAATGACTTATATTTTTTGTTTGAGCGGGTGACCTTCTTGAATATCTGGGCTACCTGCTCCTACCATTCAGATATTTTAACAAGTTATGTGTTTCGTTGTTTGTTTTACCAAATCATTATGTCAGTTAATTGCCTAACCTATTCAGATACATTTACGAAAAGTTCACGGCCTTACACTGTACAAGTTACAAAAATTTACAACCGGAGACATCGTGATGACTGGTAATGTGCATTGAAAAGAATGAATATTATTCCGATGTCAACTTCTGAAATGCTAATAACTAACTGGTGATCACTTAATATTTGCCGTCAATATCGATTAAAAAAAGAAACGGATACTCGCTCAAATACTTTGTGCTGAGAATTACATATTATATCGAAAATATAATATTGAATAAAGCTAATAATAATAATAAATTCAGAAAACAAGATCACTTTATCAGCACTCTTATGAAGGATACTTTGTTTATTATTTAAATCACTTGATAATGAAAAACTTATAACGAAGTGAAAATGTGGTGATCGGTAAAGAAAATTTAATGGAACCTCAGCGTTTCTCAATACAGATTATATCTGAAACTTAATTTGAAGTTGAATCACTGCTTCACATAGCTCTGGAACTAAAAACATCTATATTTTGTCATGACCAATGCATAAGAAAATGGACACTATTGTGATAAATATCTTGTTTTGGATGGTTATTAATTTCATTTATATGGGCCTCAGACCATTGTAATATAATAATAACTAATCGACAATTCAATGAGTTTCTTAGTAAATGTTGTAGAAATAATGAGAATTCTTTTATAATGACTTGATCAAAAACTCGAACATTTACTGAATCGCTGTATGAATGAACTTTGTAGCATATACCACTTGTTTTACGATACAAAGCGTCGATTAGAAACTTGAAAGGCTCAAAAGATAAGTAAAATAACCATTTCTATTTAAATTTTACAATTATTTTATGAGCACATTCCTGTTTCTGACAGTCATTATGCTCCATGGCTAATAGAAATATTATAACTTCAAGGTCATTTTCAGCGTTACACATGATAGGTGATACAGCGTAGTTACACTATATCATCATCATTTATGAACAACTGAAGACCATCTATTTATAATCTGTTTACAATGTATCTCACAGACCAAGTATACAGCTATTTTACTGTCACTGTGATATATTTGGTCTAATAAAAAAGTGAAAATTAGCGATTTCAGCCTAACTAAAATTTGAATGAATACTGCTCTACTTTTAAATCTAAACACTGCCATAAGTAATAGTACGATTGTACGTTCATTTAAATCTACTTTGAAAACCTTCGAATTTTGTGTCGTTCACTTGAAAATGCTAATTCGTTTAACACCTCAACGAACAAACATCAACAATATTCCGTCTTTTCTTTCATTCTTCCTATAAAAATATTATTTCCTATATTTCAACTTACATTTTATTTATTATTCTCAAATTTTTACTTTATTTCACTTTCACAAAATGTTTTGTGTTATAAAAACTACACAGACGTGTAAAGACAAAGACTATCATATCATTGTTCTCATATTTTTAATCAACTCGTACAACGTTTGTCACGTGAAACCATACAAACCTGTGTACAGTGCATAATATTCCAAAAATGTAGAAATTACATTCGAAGATAAACAATATGACATTAGAAAACACTACGGTTGTGAACTGTTTACTAGCTATTAAAATGAGAAAAATAATTCTTTAGACTGTATTCAAAAGAAGAGGTTTTAAGAGAAATCCCTTTAATTATCCTGAAAACAAATTATTGATCATTAGAAAAATAATACATTCGACTTCATGTCGCTTGAAATTGCTGAAGTTTGGATGATCATATTCTTCACCACGTTTTATGAAAAAATCAATAATAGTTAATTCGTCCTTTTTCAATTTCTTCTACACTGTTGTTTATTATAGGTAGACTAACACAACTAACCATTTATGGTCTACCTGAATTTTGTGTAAGTGTCAAGTCACCAACCTCCAAATGGTATGTGATTTCTGTTATTAGTTAATAATCTTTAGTAGCTTGTAATTTTCATTTTCGAAACACAAATGCAATGAACCTTTGTGCATGGAATGCTTCCTAAAAAACAATATGTAAAATGATTGATTTGAATCTTTTTTTAATCCTCCGCTTGGAATATTACTAAGTAAAGCAACTTCATTTTTCATAAAGTTTCCCACATGTTAAAACGAATCATCCAGATAAGAGAAAGTTGGTTTGTTTCAGAATAAAAATGATATTTCCCTGGCCTGATATTTTGACCTACAATAATTAATTATCATAGATGCTATGAAGTATTTTAAAAATTACAATTAGTTTTCTACACTTTTCCTTCATGAACGACGAATGAAAGCATCTGTACATTCTATTTATTCTCACTTTCAATAATCTACCTTAATCAACTAGATAACAAGTTAATACAAGTTCTGATGATGTTGTTTAGAAGTACAATAAAAGGCCCCCGACAAAACTACACAGCTCAGAGAACAAAACTCCACCTAAATCATCCACCTGATCTACATATCTTATCCACCATCTCAACATATATCTTGATGATATTCAAATGTGTATTAGACATTCAGATATTGAATCAATAGCCTGAATAGGTATGACGATTAGTATTCTATAGTAAGTGTGTTTAACTATTTAACTGGTTTCTAGCCCTACGACAGTTCCTGAAGTATGAACATAGTTAAGATAAAATAGCAGTAATTTATGACTCTGGTACTTATATGCATTTTTAACTTGGCTGATGTCAATTCCATGAAATCCAACAACAAATCCAAAACGAATTATGGACAAAATATGCTGTAATTTAAGAAATATACCTTAGTGATTTGATTACCATAATAGGTTGCCTGAAATACTAATAACATAAATTTATAGAAAACATTAATGCATAGTAACATGCAAATTCTTTAGACAGATATCCAATGGATATAAACTAGATTAATTACAATTTAGTTGAAGGGCACAAAGAAATGCCAGTTGAAAAGAACTAGCTGATAAGTATTTTGCTTATGAAAAGAATATTTTCATTTAGATCGTTTGGGTTCAGTTTCACTATCGGCGTGAAAAAATCTAAGTCAATCTTCAACATATTGTCATTAGTATCAAATTAAATAGACCTTCACTCACTAACGCCTTTATGTCCTAAGGGGATGTGATATTTTCATTGCGACACTATTAGATTATTTTGTTGTAAGAACATGTAATGAGACTATAAATTGTGGACAACCTTTAGGCGGTGCTAAAGTAACCCTGAGAAATGTCAACTAATTACCGAGGTCAAAAGAGGGTTATAGATTAGTGTGACGAATTAGGATTAAGAGATAAAAGTTAGACTTCGGAATTAGAGTAAGGATTTCCATTACGAAATGACATAAACTATAATGACGAAATCCCATTTAACCATATAAATGGACGAAATTCGCACCAAAATCCAATACGTTCTATCTTCAATTTCATTGGTTCATTCATTGATTACAATCTTGTTAAATATGCTTAACACTTCCAAAATAAATTGTTGTTGTCACCTTTTGTAAATAAATAACCGATTTTTTACAGTTCTAGCAAATTTTTCATGAGACTGAGTTGTTTCAATATCCGATTGTTTCTAAGTAAACTTGTCTGTAGTCTTTAGTGATTTATTATTTTCTTTACAATTCAAGCAATTATCATAGCTAGATATACTACTAATAAACAATCTGATTGTATGATAAGACAATAATACTGACTGTTGAAAACATTAAATTCTATATTCATAAATCTATTTGAATAAGTTCTCTTTTGTTAATAATCGGAAAAGTTTACGTTTATATACAGCTTGTTGAAGTTATATCTGCAGCACAACAGAATTCTGTTAATTTCAACAAAACAATTTACCAGTAATTTAACAATTCAAGATGTTCTATTAAATACAATCAAACATGATTAATAACTAAGGACTGATTCGTTACTAAATAGATAAATTTGTTAACAATATACCATTTAAAATAATCAAATCTATCGTAAAAATAGATCTATTTATTTCAAACATTTATATATATATATATATATATATATATATATATATATATATATATATATATATATTGTCAGAAAGAGATTTTGTGCATATTAAAGTTAATTAATAGTCAAATTCATAAGTCAGTTAGAGGTAGATCACCATAGAAAACCTGAAAGCACTGAACGGCCGTTTCGTCCTAGTGTGGGACTCCTCAGGAGTGCGTATCTGAAATCCCGCTCACGGGATTCGAACCCAGAATATTCGGCCTCGCACGCGAGCGCCTAAACTCTATACCGCTGAGTCGGCATCCGACGGTGTTAATGTCTAAGTTCCACTAGTCCACGAAATTGCGCCACCGTCCACCATTGTCTTCAGTGAGTTACTATCTCACAACAGACCCAGTTGAAGTTAAACATCAACACCGTTGGATACAGGCTGAAGGTCTAGAAGTTAAGCGTTCGCAGGCAAGATCAATATGTCCTGAGTTCGAATCTTACGAGGCAGGATCGTGGATGTGCACTGCTGAGGAGTCCCATACTAGGACGAAGCGGCCATCTAGTGCCTCTAAGTTTTTCATAGTGGTTTAGCTTCGTTTAACTCATGAATTCAACTATTAAATATATATATTGAGAAACATTTACAAATAAGAATGATTACTGTAATATAAACTCGAAAAAAACATTATATTCTGATATTTTAAATGATTGTCTTTAAACTAAATCAACTAAAAAGTGAGTAATAAATTTTTCTCATTTAGAACAATAGAATATTCTACATTCAAAATTATAATTTCAAACTTCTAATAATAAACCAATAAATATGAACCTTTTTTTATTATGCTTCTTCAGATGTAAATTATTTCGAATAAGCATGATGAGTCAATTCGAACAATTGACTAATCATTAACATAGTAAAATACATGTGAATCAATATATCAAGAAGAAATAATCAATGAAAGGAAAACAAAAGGGGAACATTTCAAGGAATAAATAATTTAGAAAAATGTTTGTAAATCAATTGAATCTAAAAAGCTTGAATAGATCTCTGGTGAATGCGATGTATCATAAGTGTATGAATCGTGATGACAATTATTTATATCATTACTAGTTGTAGGTTGAGATATATTAAAGTCTGTGTAAAATTCTTTTTGATCAGGATAATTAGTCATATTATTTCGATTGTTCACATTAGGAAGAAATGTACTTGTTAATTGAATTTTGTAAGGATCATAAATTGTATCCGTTGATTGAAAATATGTTGAATTGTTATTTGCCATTAAATTTTGAACTGATGTACACATATTTGATATGGGCTTGTTACTCATTGGCATCATGTTCATTTGTGATACTATAAATGGTTCTGGTTTATGATTCATCTCATTTATTGACATATTTCTATTTTGTGTTATTTCATATGATTTCATTGTCGGAGCAATAATAGGGATACGTGGTTTATTATATGGTTGAGTGACAGCTTTCGGAACTCTTGTTAACCTTGCTGCTTGAAAACAATTTGAACGGGTAGGACATAAAACTAACTCAAGAGGTAATTCAGCAGTAGTTTTTACTTTTTGCTGTAATACAACTTTATTTGTTGGTGGTTTGCGTTTTCGTCTAGGACAGTATTTGTAATTTGGATAACGTCTCATATGACAATCACGTAGTCGGTTAGCTTCTTCAATAAATGGAATTTTGTCAGTATTTGTTAAAGATTTCCACAAATTACCTAATTGCTTACTGATTTCAGAGTTATGAAGTTTAGGATTCTCTTCAGCCATTTTACGCCTTTGTAAACGTGACCATACCATAAATGCATTCATTGGTCGTTTAATTCTTTCACTGTTCATATTAGTATTGTAAACAGTTAAATGATTATTAGCAAAATTGGATTGCATTGTAATCACTGAAGACGATGATGATGATGACGATGATAAAATTGATGTTGACAAGGTCAAGGGATGAAGTGGTGATTCATTTACTACCTGAAAAATAATTTCAAGATTAATTTCAAGTACTAAAGCGCAGTGTTGAAAATCATTACAAATCTAATAAAAGTTTTCAGTGGAAATCGTGTTTGATAAACACCTAAGAACAATCTAGATATATTTGAAAGTAGGTAATTTTCCTAATTGTACATTAAATTTATTCAGATTTTTAATGAAACGTTTTTAACTTACTGAAATCGGCTTATGAAATACTAAAATAAAGATAACACTGAATAATTTTGGATTCTAATTCAACAGCCGATCACAATAAACTATGAATATAACGTCAAATTTATAAATTAAAATCTAACTATTCACTAATGAATAGCTTCTAAATGAATTCCCTAATTTTCTATTTGGAAGTATTACTTTATGAAAATAATCCAGTATAGTATGAAACAATATTTCAGTGATGAAGATTCCACTAAATTAAGGTTATCAGAATGGGGATTTACGGAGATTGTAGTAATTTTAATAGTTGAATTCATGAGTCTATCCAGGCTAGACAACTAGTGAAAACCTAGCAGTATTGAAGGACTTCCATACTAGGACGAAACGGTCGTCCAGTCCTTCCAAGTTTTCAGTGTGGTCTAGCTTGGATCGACTCATGAATTCAGCTGTTAAATTAAAATTAGCTGAAAGCTAAATATATGTTGAATTTGAACTGACTTTTGATAATAATTACAGATGTCAGTAAGTTTCAAACTGGAATAAGCTATTCACTTCAAGGTAACTAAGTTTTGCATATTTCTCTAGCTGATGCTAATTTGTAGTAACTTTTATCTTCATTTTTATAGAACTTTTACTAAACAAACATAATATATATCTTCTGTATTCACACATATCAATGATAGTGTTGATCAAATATTCAGTGTGACTATACTTAGTAGCATATCAGAAACTTCAGAATATACAGTCAAAGCTACCGAAACTTCAAATTTAACAACAATATATGAACCTATTATCTTGAATAGTAATGGCTTGCTTGATTTACTATTTAATTATTACAATCAAATCATATTCTATTTGAATACCATAGTAACTGAATGAACTAATTATTAGCCTCATTGCACGATATCACTGAAATCTATGATTGTTCAAGTGACGTCACACTACAAAGAGAGCTTATGTCAAAATACCTTAGCCTACAACAAAGAAATTTATCTTGTACACTATGGCAACAAACATGTTAATTTAAACGAAAAATAATTTTAAGTCCACCCGAATTAAAAAAAAACAGTATTAATACGTAGTAATCCGATTCGTAGCATGAACAATTAAAAACCAATAGCAAACAATATTTTTCATAGTGCACTACTGTTTCTTGTAAAAATCGTCTTAAATTTATGATAAACTTAAAATGTAATTAAACCTCATTTCAGTTAATTGATAACGATCATTTTTACCATTTCTTCACATCAAAATATTAACTGTTATATGACTTCATGTTATATCTCAGCGGTGTTTAAGCGGCTTTGCTCAAAAGTTATGAATGTTAGTGGCTATCGATTGGTTAGTCCCTACATGGATAACTGAAAAAAACATACTAACTTTTTTCATGACAGTGTTAAAACTGAACACATGTCGATACCAAACTACTGACTACCTATTATAAGAACATTTTACATGGGTTAATAATATTCGGTATTTAGATAACCATTGAACAAAACCTGACTGATGTTAATTAAAAGGTTGGTTCTCTATATTTTGTCTTCCTTGTAGCGCCAAGATGATATTTTTCGTCACAGTCAACAGAAAAATGAAAGCAGATATCATATTACTGATGATATAAATATTGGAAAGACCATCAATAAAAGGTATTCTCCCTAGCTTCCTTTTCTCTTTTTAGCTGCTATTACACTTTTTAAACTTTTAAGTGACTAACATATTCATTTAAATCTACGTTGACATACCTCTATAAATATAATGATTTAAAGTGGCTTATTACATTTGTACTAAACTGGAGACCCACATGAATATTTAAAAATTATTTCAAGTTTATTTTAAATAACTGGCCAATTTTTCCATCAACAACCTTTGAACATCTTAACAAAAAACTAATGTCACCAAGCTTGTACCGAAATGCAAAATATTTCGACTACATTTTGTTGCTTTAGTGAGTCCATTTGTTTCCGAATAAATTTTACCATTTTATTGTCAAACAGATGAAACTGTTGTTAATGTCTACTTGTTTAAAGTGTTTTTCGAAATGGATTGTTCATTTCAAACTTTAGGAATCAAAACATAACTTGACATCGTGTCCGCGTCAATCATATACCGAGATGTGTTTAGAATCTTTTATTCTTTTATAATTTAACTATCAGAAATCATTTGAAAATCTGTATATTGTGTTGTATGCTACTTATGTCCGTCGATATAAGTAACATGTAACACCATTCGAAAGCAGAAAACCCGGCAGCAGAATGCTATAAATATCGACTTAAAGAAAACAGAATTAAAAAAGAATTGTGAGTCAGAAAGATCATACAGAAAATAGAGAACAAATGATGAAATTTTGCAAATGAAGTATTCAATATATAGTTCTTCTGTTGAGATACATTTGATTGTCCCCACCTATTTTCTCGGTCACAACAATATCAATCGAGATTCTACATTGCCTGGTTCATTGACGTCAGATTAACCATTTGTCCTATATTCTCGTTGATAATTTGATTATTTCATGATAAGTTTCATACATATAAATACCATTTTCATTCTGCTTTGATATTACTTCAGTTTTAACTGAACACTAGCATTACAGCAGATAGTGGAGAAATAAAAACATAGCCAAAAATAGCTAATAAACTATTTAGTAAAATTAAAATTCATCATTATATTAACATACCATTTGTCGACATGAATATTTTTCTAGATTTTGTTTACGATTATCTAAACAAATATTGTAATCCAGTTGTTGTTGTTGTTGCTGCTGCTCTGACTGTAATCTGAGTCTCTCACTTTGATACTCCAAATCATGTGGTATGAAACTTGATTTGATAAGATTTTTATTTGATAAATCAGATTCAGGATAATTCAAAGGTGAAGATGATGATATTGATGCAACACCAGAAGAATAATACGAATTTGTTATGTGTTTCTTATCACCTGACATAATGTGTATATTATTTGGCATCAGTATATTACTTACAGGTGGTAATATTGTATTGCTTCCTGAAACATTTTGATTTGGAAAATCATTCATTTGTATTAAACTGAACTCTTCATTTCTTAGCGCAGTTGACTGAAAGTTCTGAAGTTGATTATGTTCACCAACAGTAGAAATGGGTGATTTTTGCATTAAAGTATCTGTTTCATCAGATGATAATAATTTTCGCGTAACTAAATGATTGTCATCTGTATGTGGAAATGAATCATATTGTATAGGGCTATTTAAAGCTGGAGGTGTTGTTGAGATATTTTGACAAAACGGTTGAGAGAAAATCATGATTTGAAGTTTTCTAAGAATTTATTCAACAACTAACTATAAAATCTTTCATATTAAAAGTGGATCAAATTATTATTTTTCTATACATATATCAGAAGCCCCCAGTTTTTACGTTATCACTTGAATTCAATGAAATAATTGCATTAGTTTAACCGAATGATTCAAGGCATAGTTTATTAGATTTTATGATTATTTCAAAAACAATTGTGATACAACTCTAAAATTAGATTGCTAATTTAAATACTGTGGAAACCTGACTTCCAATAGACCTTGAAAAATTTTGAGGTGACTTTATCTATTCTAAAAATTCGTGATCATTCACCTTGGATAAACATTTCTCTTATAAGGTAAAATATTAAGCCTTAGATACATTTTAATAACAAATAAGAGGATAGGATAGTTAAGAATATTGGGCCTCTAGAACATTTTTTTTGTTTACGCATAATGTGTTCTTGTAGACATGCATCTAAGAAAATACAACACATATAGATGTATGCAATAATAGTAAGCATACTTATTTACATAAGCACACTCATAAAGCATACATACAAATAATTTTTCTACCCCACCCGACAAGTTCTTCTCCTTTCTACTCATCTGACATTTTATTTATCTGTATGCATTGAGTTCACAATATTTATACTGGGCAAAACGCAACAAATTTTTAGAAAAAAAATATATCAAGTATAACCTAGTTGTTTACACATCCTGTTATATGTAGTTAGATACAAATATATACATTTTAAAGGTTTGATTAGATTTTATACTACTGTTGTTTGAAAATGGTACACTCAATTTTGTTTAATATTGAATCAGTATTTATTCAAGTCCATTTATTGAAAATAATTTTCTTTGCAATGTGAAGTACTATGAAAAACAATAACTTGAATTAAAAATTGTGTTTTACAAAATGTGTCACAATATTTGTCACTTTAAAATCTGTCGCGGTACTTCGTTACTGAAGAAGGTTCAAGTGTTCTATCTGGCTGATACTTAGTGTAATTTGTTCGTTGTTAAAATAGACAATAAGAGGCCTATCAGATTTTGATCATTTTAGGTCATTTAATAGTTTAAAACCATGAATAATAAATAAGTTTCTGAATTACAACGACACACATAGAACAAGGAACACTAATCTTAGTGGTGTGACAGTACATAAATTGGAGAGATAACCCTTATCATCCACCTGAAAAACTAGGTCGAATGAAAAACAATTTCCTTATGCATTACCAAATGGTTTGTCCGAAAGCAGGTCATTTATTATTATAGAAAGTTGATGTCAATGATGTTCAAGCTAATTAGTCGTTCAGCGTACGTAGTCGGTGTGATTCCATCCACAATGAAAACTAGAAAGGTTTCAGATATTTTGAGGTGTAAAATTCTTATTTTCACTGGTCGAATTCGTGACACATTGTGGTAGCTTCTAACTGAAAAATAGACAATCCACAAAGTAGCTTTGTGTTTCATATATCAATAAATGAGGATGTGCACATTTATTTTCAAGGGATATTGATATGACTTGTTTCTTGATTAATAATAATCTATCTTAGAAGTTCTAAATTGGATCATAGACGGGAAAATAAATATTTCTGTTTTGTCTTTTTAATCAAGACGTACTAAGAAATACGACAGAATGAAAGAAAGCAAGGTAAAAAGACGACATGAAAGGTTGAATCCATAGGCTAGGGGCCACTCACAATCTATCAGATGGTCGTTGAAACGAGTTCAAAGCCATAATGTTAGAAGACGCACTGAGTTTCAGATTGCATAACCATATACTTATCACGCTGGAAATTGCAGTACAGACTATAGGAGATCACGTGAAATTAATTTTGTCCACAATTAATTCAATCAAGTCATTTTATTAACACATTGACGAACTGAGTCATCCTAACAACAACTTATCTATATCATTGTATCTTTATTACTCTTGCGAATGTATGAACATGTATGCCTGAATATTGCTTACGGCCTACGCACTTATTCATTATGCTAGTCTTACTACTAACCACTTATTTGATTCCATGACTCATTCATTTCACTATGTATATATATGTCCATGTTATTCTTATTCATTGCTCTCGCTCGCTTGATTGCACTCGCTTGCTCGTATTCATATTTGCTGACTCACTCGCTTGCCTGCTTGCCTTTCGGCACAACTCTTCTATGTTTGTTTAACGCATCTGTAGCTTTGGATATCTGTGTGTGTGGTCCCATAATAAACGTAATCAACACTTCGTATTCGCCTTCTGACTAATATACCATTGGGGCGTTATATAGGACGGTTATCAAGACGAACTGTATACGAAGTTTAAGGATTTTATTGAATACCGACCACCACAAGACAATACTCGAACAGCTTTCCCAAACAAGTCATACCTGCATCACTAGAAAACATCTAACACTTCAATAATACAAACATTTCTGCATCAAACCCTTCTAAAGAATACTTCCTAGCACTTCGATCCTTAAAAGGATATAATAAGAGATGATAAAACAAACAAAACGTCAGTCATGAACGCAAAATATTATGATGACATGGTTTGGATATCTCCCTACTAAACTAAATTATAAGATAACATATATTTGGTTCCAAATGTATAAGGACAAAATAAAGTCAGACCGAATTGACTTTTTAAAATAAAAATAAACCGAATGAGCTTTTAATTTAGACAAGTTAGTTTAAATAAATTTAAATGAATCTCTCAATCTAACCCTCTACTGTAGATCAATATATCTATTCAGCATTAAACCGTCTCTTATTCAGAAGAGTTCTGAACGTCTTACAAAGTAAAAAGACAAACAAAAATACAACAGAAAATGGTCAGTTTTTTACTAGTCCATTAATTTAACATAAACGTTGGTGAAAATAAAGTACAATGACTTGTAATTAAATGAAAAATCATGGAAAATATTGGGGATTAGAACTGCAGTGTTATCGTACCATAAAACTACGATAACAGAACAAGAAATAATCCTAAACAACAGAAAATGAAGGTTTTTTATAAAACAACCAACACACTTTTATTACTTGCCTTCAAATGGATATGAAAATAAAACCCTGTTTACAGATTGGATTTTATTGATTTTAATATATTTTGTCTAGTCAAGTCTTCTTAGGAATCCTTTACTAGTACCTCACAAAATATTTAAGTTACACAAATAGATGCAATAATTCTGAAGAATTTGAAAATGTACTAGCCAAATCTGTAACAGTAATGCATACAATATTCCACAATTGTGCAATCGATATTTAAAGATAATCAAATAATTTAAAAACGTTTCACCAACTTCTTTACTTTATCAGTATGGGGTTGTGGAGATTATTAAGTTTTCAATTGAGATCATGAACCGATTGATGATTTCAATTAAAAACATAATAATCTCCACATCCCCATACTGATAATTACCATATGCTCATTAATGATTAGCTTTAAGATGAATTTCCTTCAGCCCTACTGAGAAGCCATGACCAGTGGAGCTAATCCATGTCGGATAAAGACAAGTATCTACCTCAGTACAATGGATGATGGTCACGAAATTTCGTGAATTGGTTGAAATTAGACATTAACATCGTTGGATGCCGGCTCAATAGTCTAGATGTTAAGCATTCATGCGCGAGAACAAATGCTCTGGGTTCGAATCCCATGAGGAAGATCATAGATTTGCACTGTAGAGGAATCCCAAAATAGAATAAAACAATCATCCAATGCTTCTTTTACTTTATTCTAGAATGTAGAAAATCTTAATCACGAATTTATTGAACAAAGTGAAATATAAAATTTTATTTTATATTTTTCAGTTATGTTGGTTTTTTCCTAAGAACATTTTTTTATAAATAACAATTCATCATATTTACAAATAATAAATTAGTTACTTGAACCTAATCTAACCTACATTCTATGTAAAAGTTTGACCTCAATTTTGTGTTTAATAGTACGATTAAATTTCCTTTTTTTTTGTAAATTTACTCAACTTAACATCTTTTTACTTAATAAATTAACTCTCTTTAATTTTGTTTTTTTAAAAAAAAAAAAGAAAAAAAAAGAAAAGAAAAACAAACTATGCATTATTACTAAGGTTATACAAGTAAATTTCTATTGTTCTATATACAAAATTATTAAAGCTAATTCTTTCCATCTACTTATGTATTTCCTAGAAAACTTTCAGATATAAAATTTGAGAAAAATATTATTGTCAATCAACAATTATAAGAAACAATATGTTTTTATGAGGTAATTACTTTCACGTTTTAGAATAGATGGACAAGATCTGGTAAAAAAAACAATTCGAAAACTCATGTTTCGTCTTATTTCGGAATCATTATTTGAAGGTATGTTCATCTCAGTGTTGATTTGACTAGAGCACCACTCTCAAATTTAGTGCAAAACAACTACTGTTTACGTCCTGTATTGCTTTCAAGTGATTGAAAACAGAATTTGACCCTATTAAATGATTTTGTCTATTAAACGATACATTTATAACGATTGGCTTTATTGATAACATGAATGACCTCTAGCTTAAAAGTTTTAAGATAATATATATTGTCAGTATGAAGCGAAGATTGTTGGATTTCACTCAAATCGAGAAATGATCTAAGCACTGGACGGTCGTTCCATTCCAGTATGAGACTCCTCAGCAATAGTCGTGGATGATCTTGCAAGCGGGAATCGAGCCCAGGGCTTTTGGCCCCACGTGTGAACGCTTAACCTCTGAGCCACTGATTCCAGACCCAAAGGTGTTAATGTTTAGCTTTTGATTAAACAAGTATCTCCCGATTATCTCTATTACAACACTTTCAAGAAACCTGTTTCATAGACTGTTCAACCAACCTGGAGACATTTTTGCCAAGTCTACAATATTTGTCAGTTTTCATCGCTTAATACGAAATTCTGCAGTGGTTTTTACTACGAATGCAATATAATCCATGACTTTGGTGAAGATTATGTTAAAAGTTATTTACTTACTTTTCAGACCATTAGATACATCGAAAACAACAT